AGATTGGATAGCCGAGTACGACTTGTAGGCCGACACTTTCTTATGATCCATGGTAGAAAGGAAGGCGGTAAATGGTGTTGGATCTATCAAGAGTTCTTGCATCTCAGAAATGCAGTAAAACACATTGATATATTCTGTCAAGCTGTTGTACTTCTGTTTCTCCTCTTCGGGTAAGTCAAAAGTATTAAACTCCAAATTGTTTTGCTAACTGTCTCTCAAAAGTTCTGCATCAGACTTCATAGTTGCCTATAGAGTAAAAGTACAAGTATAAGACTTCACTATTTTGGTTATAATGATGGACAAAGGAGCTAAAGGAATTCACTAACCATTATTTTGGCCAGAACTTGTACGATTTTGTCCCATTCTGTCTTAGATACGCCCTTGACTCTAGGGATATGCTGCAAAAACGGTAAAAAGATTATAACCACAACAACAGACAGATTATAGACAAAAACGGTAGGTCTTACCTTTTCTGTTTCCGTCATCAGATTATTGCAGGTATGGAACTTTGCACGTTGAAGCTTACCGACGAGAGTCGCTTCTATCCCAAACGTATTTACTGGCACAACAAAGGTTAGTGTTTTTAAAGGGAAGTAGATTTCAGAAGTAGAAAATTCAGAAGAAGCAGAAAATTGAGAAAAGTCTTACACGTTTGAATAGAAATTTCATTAGCGTCATTAAGTAGGATATGATAGGCTTGCCCAGCCGCCCGTTTGTCAAGAGCTGCTTTCTTAAGTAAAGCTCCTGAGAAAGAGAAATAAAGAAGAAATTAAAACTCAGTAGAAATTAAAATCAACTAAGTAGAAATTAAAATCAACTTACATATCTGTCTCTCCGTATTCTACAGAAATACTTGTAGGCTTGTCGATTCACTTCAGGCTGCAACTCCATTACACGCTCTATAAGCTTTCTCTCATGCTCAGGGCTCCCNATGAGAGCCCGTCGCATCTCTGGAGTGGATTCAGAGTTGTTGATGCAATTTAAAGCAGTAGTATACGCTTCTGAATCTTGGTAACCAACAACACGGAAATAATTTCTAAAGCGTTCAGAGTCTTCTTCCAGCTTTTCCTATCACATACAAGAATAATGCTCTCAGTTTTTCCTCTCACATACAGGAATAATAATAAGAAATCAAGAATATAAAGAATGGGAATCCGACTAACCACAATAGCTTCAATTGCTCTACAGATTTTGTCGGTGTTAGCTTCACTAAACAAGTTTCGAATAAGCTCCTTTGTTTGGAAGCTCACGCTATTGATGGTACGAAACCCAGCATGTCGTAGGGTCCTAACAAGATTTTCTCCTATATGTTCTTCGAGTACTGGTAGAAAGCAAACTAATCACGAATCTCCCAGTAATTTAAATACAGTGAAATTTAAACAGTACAAGATATATGGACTTACATTTTGCAATCGGTAATTCATCTTACTCGTCGGATCTGGTATATGAAACAGCTCAACCAGATTCATCTTGTTCGATTCTACTTCATCATGATCCACTAAGAGAAAGGACAAAGATCATCAGGGACACTAAGAGAAAGGAGAAAGATCAGGGAAAAAACGAGACTTACTTTGATTCGTTATCTCAACCGGTTTCGCTACTTCTTCTTCTTCAGGACTGGCTAAGAGAAAGATTAACCTGAGCGCTGCACTGTTGAGACGAGAAGGGTTTGTGATCAATTTAGGGTTTCTCTGAATTTATCTCATTTTGATGTTGAATTTCTTCAGAGCTAATGGGCCTGAAGTAAAAGTTAATCTCATGAGATATTGGGCCTAGACGGTATTCTGCAATTAATGCATCGTGTGAATGATTATACATTTTGGGGAACACATGACAAAACCCGTAAACCTCTAGACGATAATTTTTCGGAGAATTTTTCATTAATTTTATTTAAAATTTGAAAACTACATTTAATCATATAAAATTTATAAAACTATTTTTTTGTCATATAAAAATACGTACATATATTTAATTAGTTACCTCAGCCTGTGCGTTCTTTAAAGCAGCTTCTGAGGCCTCCGCTTTCACTAACTCAGCAGCTTTCAGGGCCGCTATCTCAGCATTCGAGGCCACTACCTCAGCCTTCGTTTTCGCTAACTCAGCATTCGAGGCCACTAATGCAGCCTTCACTTCCCCTAACTCTCCATTCGAGGCCACTAATGAAGCATTCAAGTCCTCTACCTCAGCCTTCGCTTCCGCTAACTCAGCATTCGAGCCGTCTAATGCAGCTTTTGAGGCCCCNAATGCAGCATTCAGGTTCACTACCTCANCGTCTNAGGCCCCTAATGCAGCATTCAAGTTCACTACCTCAGCTTTTGAGGACCTTAAGCTAGCTCTTGTGACCTTTAACTTGTCTATTAAGNCCTCTGACTTTGCTGTTAAAGCAGTTATGTCAGCTCTTAAGGTAGTCTCAACTGTTGTTAACTCGGCTGTTGTCACAGTNTCAACTGTTGTTGCAGTCTCCT